TGTTCTCTCTCGGCACAAGCAATAGACATCTTCTCCTTGAACCCCTGTAGACCCTCCGTTTCCAGCGTTTTCATCTTCGTCGATGTCGAGCCCCGTCCATACGTCCTCTACAACCTCGACCCATTCCTTGGGTTGTCTACGCCTCTTTTTGTTTGACCACTTCGCCTCTCATACAATTCTCGGCAACCTCTCCTCTCCCATCCCGCACACGCGATACTGCCATGTCAGCTTCCTCGCGTCTCTTCCCGACCGTAGGGATTGGATCCCCAATTCTGCCCTCACGGCTGCATTACTTGTGCGCTTGGAGCATCCTAGGATGATTTTCGCTGCTTTCACCTGCGCCGCCTCGAGTTCTTTCACTACCTTCTTATTTCCTTCCCATACTTCTCCGGCATACTATAGCGGCGGTACGATTACGCTCTTCAAAACCGTCGATTTGATGCGTGTATCGAGGTGCCGGTTTGCGAGTATTGGATGCAGCTTCCCTGCTCGTGATTTGCCCTTTTCCGCTACCTTGGACATGTGTGCATTCCACGAGCAGTCTTTTGCGATCTCTACTCCAAGGTATGTGTACTGGTCCACTACTGCAATCTCCTCGATCCCCCACTTCCATCTATGTTCAGCTGGTTCCTCCTTGTTGTTGCATACCCCCATGNAGAATTTAGACAGTTCTCCGTCTAGCATGACCGCGCTTTTCGTACACTCTGTCATCTTCTTCAGCACTCTCCACATTATCCCCTTGATCCCGTATTTGGACAGTTGTTTCCACAGCCCATTTCTCCATACGGTGCCATGCCTCTTTCACGTCCAGGAAGAAGCAGTGCGTCGGCTTTCCCGCCCTCTCTCTACCTTGGATGATTCTCCCTACCGTGAATTACGTGGTCTACGGACCCCCTCTTCTTTCGGAAACCTGCCTGGCCAGCACTAATGCTATGTTCCTTCTCCAATACTCTCACTATCCTATCGTTCAGCAGCTTACAGAACACTTTTCCTATTGCGTTCAACAGTGTGATCCCCCTGTAGTTTCCTGGGTGTCTTGTCTCCTTTCTTAAACAAGTTCACAACCACTCCATGCCTCCATCTACTTGGCGTATACTCGTTTTTCCACACCCCATTGTATAGCAGTAGGGGGGGGGGGGGGGGGGGGGGGGGGGGGGGGGGGGGGGGGGAGTAGGGCCTACTCATGTTTGCGTGCCTTAGCGGTCACTAGACCATTGACCACTCGTCCTCGAGAGGACGATGTAGCACTGTTCCCACAAGGCCGATCAAATGCACACACCCTCTGGGGGCCCCTCGATCGCTCTTCCTTGGTGCAGGCGTGAAGGTCATCGCGCACCTAGCCTCCGGTAAGCGGGTCGTAGGGGACGCCCTCCTGTACACCATGGGGCGGCAGGGAAACACAGACAGCATGGACCTCGCCCGGGCCGGGCTAGAGGCCGATAAGAGAGGGTTGCTGCAGGTGCGGGTAGGGTAGTGCACGACAACCCCGGCGCGTCAGGAATAGCGCATGTTGCGTAAGATAACACACCCCCTGTGCAAAGCGCGATTGCAATGCAGCAAGACCATTGTGGAATCTGATTCGCCTCGTGGTATGTAGAGGACCCGTGGTTTGGACGTTTTCTTCCCCGGTCGCTCGATGGTACCTACCGCCACGTGAGCTCAAGAGATCAGCACCACCCCGTGTCGCTGCTGCCTGCTGTTGAGGTTGATCCCCAGCTACTGCATAGGCACACCCGATATCTGCTCGGATCTCAATCGAGGCTGCAGTGGTGATGGCAGCACTTGCTTCCGCTCGGGTACGGTTTCACCGCGTTGGGCGTTTCATCTTCTGTTCTGACTGTCGTGTGTCCTGTTTTTGTGCTCTATGTCGGGCGTTGCGCAGGTTAATGACTTCTACCAAACGTCCAATCCTCGGGTGTACGCGTGCGGAGACGTGATCGGTTACCCCGCTCTGGCGTCCACTTCGATGGAGCAGGTAAGGCCGGTGGGAGACAAGAGACAGGGGCACGAACAGACATATAGACAGACAGACAGACAGAACAGGCAGACAGGGTGGACAAGACAAGAGAGATGGAGGACACACACGCCAGGGGGGCAAGAGATGAACAAATATGGACACACAGATTGGGTACACGAAATAAAACACACAGTGGGGGGTTAGGGGTTAGACATATATGGTAAATTCTGTGTGCTGCAGGTGGCCATAATTGAGAAATGCGGACAAAAGACAGAAATGCGCAGCTAGTGTTTTTCCGGATCGCCATGAAACCTGCAAACAACATTTTCCAGTTGAGTACCTACCAGTGATTGGGCAACGAGCTCTTGCGTGATGTACCATGTACTCAAGCACACCCGGATGATATCATTTTGGCTTCTCAAAGATTGACAGCTATTGTTTTATATCAGTGGTATCCTATGCCGCCCTGTTCTTCCTCTGAAACTAGCTTTTTTTATGTGTTGGGCTCATGTTGACCCGTGGAAAAGTTACCACCGAATGTGGCATTGTATGGAATGGGGGATCTTATCCCTCGTCAGTGGGACGTGTTCCCCTTTGTCGGTGTGCCGTCTTGTGTAGAAAACGAAAACGCTAAACCGATCTCATGTTGGGCTCATGTTGACCCGTGAGAAAGTTACCACCGGATGTGGTATTGTATGGAATGGGGGATGTTATCCTTCGTCAGTGGGACGTGTTACCCTTTGATGGTGTGCCTTCTTATATAGAATACGAATACGGTGCACCGCTCTCATGCACGCATACATTTGCTGCGTGGTGCCAACACGAGGCTGACTTGTGTCCATGCTTGCAACATACCATGCACTGCAACGGGGCACATGCCTCCCCCATCCCCCCCGCTGCAACATCCGCATTGCACGTCACACGCGCCAAACCCCCTCTCCTCCGCACACGCGACGGAACCCTTCACGACACCAACCCTCGATTTGTTCCATGTCTCCAAAGGGACGGCGAGCAGCACTTCACATGTGGGGGCGGCGCCCGAGGTTGGATGGCGAGTTGAAGGGCGAGCAGCTCGCCGTTTCGGACGAAACCGAGCACGCGAGAGTGAAGTCGGTTGCGGACGGAGGTTTCTTGGTGAGAGGGATGAGCGTTACGTATGGAGGGAGGGAGAGAGTCAGAGGAGGGAAAGGTAGACAGACAAAGGAGAGACATACTGACAGGCAGAGACAAAGGCAGAGAGAAGAGAGGGAGACAGACAGGCAAGACAGGCAGAGCGAAGAGGTAGATGCAGGAAAAAAATAGGTTCTGTGCACTGGGTCGGAGCTCTTCAGGTAGAGAGGCAAGGGCGTAGGGTAACTAGAACTGCCAACGAGTCATGGTCAATCAACAATCCGTAAAAGAAAGGACCGAGTTGGTAGCAACTTTTGCGTCGCATCAAAAAGCCAGGCGTCTCGTCTGTGATCGCGAGCGAATCGGAAGCACCGGCCCCGTGGTGCCATCTCAACGCTACTGCTGTTTTAGCTACAGCAGAGTGTTCTAGCTTTGCGAAAATCGGTCGAGGGGTTGCAACCTCATGTAGACTACGGTGCCTACCCACCTTTTTTTGAGCATCTGATTCTGTGTTTGTTTCACTCTCTTGTTTGATGGACGCACCGTGGGCAGCGGCTCCCTTGTTTCGCCCGTTTTTTTGCTTCTCATCTCCTTGGCTTCCTTTCATCGGTCCTTTTGCGTGTCTGCCTCCCTCGTCTTGACGTCTCCTCTCCTTGGCTTCCTTTCGTCGGTCCTTCGAGATTCCTTCTTGGTGCTTGTCCCTCGTCTTGACGACTCCTTTCCCTCGCCGTTCGTCGGTCCTTTGAGATTCCTTGTTGCGTGTTTGCCTTCCTCGTCTTGGCGCGTTGTCCTTTTGCTGGTGGCGCGGCGTTTGCAGGGACGCGAGTCGGAGCAGCTGTTCCCTTACGGCATCTACACCATCCCCGAGGTGTCCATGATCGGGAAGACGGAGGCGCAGCTCACGGCTGAGGGGGTGTCGTACGAGGTGCGGTTTGTGACCCCCTAAAATCGGCGGTCGTAACCGATTATTTTTGTTTTGTTTTCACCCGTTCTGTCTTTTTTTTTTTATCATACTTGACGTATATTGAGCCCTAGAGATATTATGTGGTTGGCACGTTCGGATGAAAAGCAGCACGAGTGTTTCGCCTCGCCGTTGATGGTCTGCATCACGACCATGATATGGTATGGTATAACCGTCGACAACACCGGTAACAGCAGCATTACCAGCACCACCACCACCGGCGAACAATCCGTCCCGAAATCAACCCAACCGCAGTGGGCCCACGACATCCAAACGGTTTCTTAGGTTTCAAGAGAAACCGCAGAGATAAGTTGGTGTTGACACCACTTCCATCCTATCTACCGGGCTCATCCCATCCCATCCCATATTATCACCGTCCCAGGTCGGGCTCGCGGATTACCAGGAGCTAGCCAAGGGGCAGATGCTGGGAGGGGCCGACGGGTTCCTCAAGCTTATCTTCCATACCGAGACCCTCAAGCTGCTCGGCGTGCACTGCATCGGCGAAGGAGCGACCGAGATTATCCACATCGGGCAGGCGAGTTTAACATCGGATGACCTTGATGGCGAGCGCCAACGGTACTGGGAATTGTTAAAAATACAGTACATACATTACGATTTAGCAGACCACGCGCTGGCTCGAGGGGGGGGGTCCGAGGGGGGGTTTACCCCCCCCCGGCACTCGTATGGTGACCCAGCAGACAACGCGTGCGGTGGACCAAGCATACCACCCGTGTGGTGAACCCAGCAAACCACGCGCTGGCTCGAGGGGGGTAGTTTGACCTAGCATACGACTACACGTGCGGTGGACTAGCCAAACCATGGCCAACAAACAGCAGTAGACTGCTGTGTGACTACATGCACAGCAGTATAGCGTACAACGGCTCGCACGTACGACCACGCATCATAGGCACACACATTCACAGGTACTGCTGATGGAGGTGTACACGTTTGTAGCTGACAGAGCTGTGTGTGTGCATCTCTCCCTGTGTGTGCATCTGTATGTAGCTGCGGCAGCCAACGGGTGAGTGACGTCAACCCAGCAGATCACGCGTAAGAGATCCATCTGCTGTCACCTCCATTTGTGAGCGTACAACGAGTTCCACGACTACCCATGAAAGCACCTGCAGAGGAGACTTTATCTACTGTACTTCTGGTGCTGGTGCACAC